CTTGGAAGCAAAGATGATCAAGTTCAGACTATTGTACTTTGGCCACATTATGAGAAGGCACTGATCACTAAAAAAAACCCACTAATGCTAGGAAAGGTAGAGAGTAGTAGAAAGAGAGGAAAACCACAAACTAAATGGATAGACTCTATCAGGGGGGTTATGGGCAAGGGCTTGCAGGATCTGGGATAGCGACTCTTGGAGATGTCTCATCCGTAGGGTCGCCATGCATCGGGATTAACTCGAGGGCAGCTAACAACAACAACGACAACAACAAGGTATGGAAAATCTTGAACTATTTCAATGCCTTCATTGGCTATTGCCTGGCTTCTTTTTGAAGACTTCCAGAGAAGGAGACGTCACCAACTCTCTAGGCAATTGGTTCCATTCTTACTGTCAAGAAGCCCCTTCTAGCATTCAGTCAAAACCTACCCTCCTGTAAAAGAAAAAAAACAAACAAAACATTACATCTTGTCCTACCCTCTGGGGCAGCAGAGAACAAACATGCACCCTTGTGTTTGTGACGGCCCTTTTCGTATTTAAAGATTGCAATCATATTGCCCCTCAGTCGCCTCTTCCCAGGCGGAATGTGCTCAAATCCCTCAACTTTTCCTCATATGTTTTGTTCAACATGACTCTTATCCTCCTTGCTACCCTTCTCTGAACCCACTCCAACTTGTATTGTTGTTGTGTGCCTTCAAGTTGTTTCTGACTTACGGAGTTGTTGTTGTTAAGTGTCTTCATGTGGATCTCGACCCATGGCAATCCTATGGAGGAGACACCTCCAGTCCCCCCCATCCTCTCCTTCTCTGCCCAGTTCCTGCGAACTCATATTCATGGTCTCTTTAACAAAGTCCATCCATCTCGCATGTGGCCTTCCTCTCTTTCTACTTCCCTCCACCTTTCCCAACATTATTGCCTTTTCCAATGATTCATGCCTTCTTATGATGTGTCCAAAATACAACAGTCTAAGTCTTCCCATCTTGGCTTCTAGGGATCTCTTTGGCTTGATCTGCTCTAGAAAAATATTCTTTATAAAACAACGTTCAGGCTATGTGTGTAGGGTGCATGTTATTTTTATTGTTATGTGCCTTCATTTCTGACTAATGACGACCCTAAGGCAAGGGTGTTTTCTTGGCAAGTTTCATGGGGGTTTTTTTGCCATGTTTCTTCAGAGGCGGTTTGCCATTGCCATCCTCTGACGCTGAGAGTGTGTAACTTCCCCGAGGTCACTCAATGGGTTTGCATGGCTGAGCCAGGATTCGAACCCTGGTCTCCAGAGTCCTAGTTTGATGCTCAAACCACTATGCCACACTGGTTCTCACATGTAAGGTGTATACAAAACATTAAATTAATTCCATGTTTAGATTTGGGTTCCATTCTGCAAGATATTTCATTATGTATATGCAAATATTTAAAAATCTGGGGGGGAAAACCCTCTGAAATCCAAAACACATCTGGTCCCAAGGATTTTAGATAAGAGACTCAACTGTACTAGCTGCTGCAGAGGGTTCTCATAGAATCATAGAGTTGGAAGAGACCCCAAGGGCCATCCAGTCCAACCCCATTCTACCATGCAGGAACTCAAAATCAAAGCATCCCTGACAGATAGCCATCCAGCCTCTGTTTTAAGATATCCAAAGAAGGAGACTCCACCATCCTCCAAGGGAGTGTCTTCCACTGAAAACAGCCTTTATTGTCAGGAAGTGCCTCCTAATGTTTAGGAGGAATCTCTTTTCCTGTAGTTTGGATCCGTTGTTCCGAGTCCTATTCTCTGGAGCAGCAGAAAACAAGCTTGTTCCCTCCTCAATATGACATACCTTCAAATATTTAAACAGGGTTATCATATCCCCTCTTAATTGTCTCTTCTCCAGGATAACATACCCAGTTCCCTAAGTCGTTCCTCATAGAGCTTTATGGTTTCCAGACCCTTCACCATTTTAGTTGTCCTCCTTTGGACATGCTCCAGTTTTTCAACATCCTTTTTGAATTGTGGTGCCTAGAACTGGACACAGTATTCCAGGTGGGGCCTGACCAAAGCAGAATAGAGTGGCACTATTACTTCCCTAGATCTAGATACTATACATCTATTAATGCAGCCTAAAATTGCATTGGCTTTTTTAGCCGCAGCATCACACTGTTGACTCATGTTCATTTTGTGATCTACTAGGACTCCTAGATCTCTTTCACACGTAGTCTCCTTACGCCAGGTGTCCCCATCTTATATCCATGCAATAACAGAAAGGCCAACCGCAACACATCCTGAGAGTGTCCAGATTCCAGCTGGAGAGAATGCTAGTCTAGACAGGTCTTTGATCAGATCCAGCAGGGCTCTCCTTCTGTGTTCGCAGTAGCTCAGCAAGAGATATCCTAATTGAACAGCGTGAGACAGGACACTGGTGAAGTGTGATCTTTACAAGTTTTATTCTTTGCCCTATCTTTGGCTGCAAAGACTTAAAATAATCTGAATTCCTGGTGACTGTGGGAGGAGGTCTGAGGAAGAAAAGCCAATATGAGGTGTAAACTATTCTGACTGCAGAACCTGAAAGGCGAGAAGTGGCATGCATTGTCTCCCCTGCTAGGAAAGTGCATACTGCTGGGTTAAAGCTGGATTTTCAAGAGCAGCCTTTCCCCGCAGTTCAGTGAACAAGTCTGCTGTCTTGCAAGCAGTAAAACTTTCTTCCAGAAAAACACAAGAGCTCTGAAGACAGAAGTGCCATCATCCCAAAACACTGGCATTCCAAAAATCCGTCAGTGATCAC